TGCGAGCGCCCTGGGCCCTGGGCGCCTGCCACAGCAGCAGCCGTTCAGCATTTGCTTGGGACCTTGTATTCTTGGAGGGAAGCAGCCGCTGCGGGGCAGCCGCGCGTTGTTGACTCGAGGTGGTTCAAAGGAGCCTCTGGGGCGACGCCACAGGCCACCTAACGGCCCCTCGCCCTCACGGCCGTCGCGCTTACGCCGCGCCGCCGCAGGCTGACGTCCCCTGGCGCCTGGCGGGCGCGCCCAGACAGCGCCTGAGGGCGGCACCATGGACCAGGAGGGTGCAGACGCGGGCGGCGGGGAGGCTAGTGCCGGCGGCGGGGATGGATCCAGGGGGCCGCCCGATGCGGCAGCGCCCGCGGAACAGCAGCCGCAGGCGCAGCCCAGCGCCGCCGCTTCTGAGCAGCAGCCCGCAGCATCGGCGCTGCCCGACGCTGCCGGTCATGATCCGCAGCCGCCGCCACCTGGCGCCGTCGCCCCGGCGGACGCGCCTGCTGCGATCCCGCTGCCTGGTGCCGCTGCCCCCGAACAGCAGCCGGCGGTGCCCTTGTCGCTGGCTGCAGCGGATTCCGAGCAGCAGCGTACAACCGCCGAGCCCGCGCCACCCGGAGCGGCAGCTGCAGAAACGGCGTCGGCAGACCAGCAGCCGGCTACAGCCGCTGCGCCGGCGGAGGAGCAGCCCGCCGCAGAAGCAGCGCCGGCGGAGCAGCAGCCTGCCGCAGAAGCAGCGCCGGCGGAGGAGCAGCCCGCCGCAGAAGCAGCGCCGGCAGAGCATCAGACCCCTGCTGCGGTCGCAGCGCAGCAGCATGACACCACTTCCGACGCCGCTGCTTCAGCACCGCATGAGCAGCAGCCCGCGCCGACGCCGCCTGGCGCCGGCGTGACTGGACAAGGGGAGGGGCCTGTTGCGGAGGACCAGGGTGGCGATCCACCTCCTGATCTGAACCAGCAGCAGCAAGAGCAGCAGCAGGAGCAGCAGGAGCAGCAGGAGCAGCAGGAGCAGCAGGAGCAGCAGGAGCAGCAGGAGCAGCAGGAGCCGAAGGAGCAGCAGGAGCAGCAGGAGCAGCAAGAGCAGCAGGAGGAGGATCAAGAGGAGGAAGAGGAGGAGGACGAGTTTGGCCTTGGCGGCGCCGTCCCCACGCTGCCGCGCCGCGCCCCAGAGCCGGCCCTTTCGCCGACGCCGCCGCCGGGCTCGCAGCAGCAGCACGGGCAGCAGCAACTGGGCAGCCCCGAGGAGCGCGCCGCGCGCAACGGGGTGGCGGCGGGGGCGCCGTTGGCGGCGGCTGCGGGCGCCCCGGCGCCGGGCTCGGAAGCTGAAGAGGCGTCCTCGCTGGACGAGCCGGCAGAGGAAGGGGTGCCCGCGAGCCTGGTGCGCGCCAACCACCACCACCCCCCCGGCGGCGCGCAAGGGCCGGGGGTGGGGGCAGGGGTGGGGCACGGGC